GGTGCTATTTTGCATTGTTGTATAACGTATTGCTGGGATTTGTAGTCCACTCTAGCTGGTATTATTCTGCACTGCTCTATAATGTATTGCTGGAATTTGTAGTCCCTCAAGAGCTTGGAGTCATTTTGCATTGCTGTACATTCAGTGGCGTAACCAGAGTTATGGGCGCCCGGGGCAGAACATTTTTTTCGCCCCCCCCATATTATATAAACATCCACTAGAACTGTACCAATTTGTTACCTGGGCGCAAAGGCTGCAGTAAATACAGTGAAGAAAAATACGCAGACGAGCAAAATGAAGCAAAGTATGTGTTCCTATTGGGGTCACTGTTAAAGTGAACCTGTCCTGTATGTGCAAAGCACACGTTCACTTTAAATTATATGTACCTGTTCAGTAACAGGCAAATATACCTTTTATTCTGCTAGAAATCTTGTGAGCTGATAACTTTCATTCCTTTTTGCCTTTGCCGCATTCTTATAGCTTATATTATTCCCAGCTCTCTCCATGGACTACAGAACACCTCCTCAATATTATGTAGAAAAGTAGAGGGTGAGGCGTTCCCTAGTCCTGGAACACTTCCTGTGGTAGGATGCCATCACTTCTCCTCCTTAGATACAGTACAATGAGTGTTGTCACCCTAGGACAGGAAGTATTTTACTGGCAGGTTCGTTGGGTAAAATTTAAAGGAAAACAGCCTGAAAAAGAAAATGAATGCAGCCACAACATCTCGTAAGTTGCAGTACATTACATTTTCTTGCTGGGTTTAGATACACTTTCAACGGTCTGCTCACTTCACAGCATATCAGTGGGATTAAGGTAATTTCTCCAGCTTGGCCTGTATGGATCTTTGCATGGAGACTTTTAAGTAAGGTTGGAAAATGTCAGAGTATTCCCATAAAATGCTTTAGAGGCTGATATCAAAACTTTGCCAGCGTTCCGTTTCACTGCAAACGCAAAAAATAGGGCTTGCTCTATTTTTTGCGTTTGCACTGGAACGCCCCCTCCCACCCCAGAAAGCATGGGGTTCCCCTTAAAAGTAATACGAGACCCTTATAGTCGGGTAGGAATTTTAGGAGAGACACCATGTAAAAAAAAAAAAAGTGTGTGGGGTTTCTTCTCTAAGTCATACCAGGCCCTTAAGGTCTGGCAGGAATTTTAAGGAGGAACCCCAAAAATGTGAAGTACCCCCTAAAATTCCATACCAGACCCTTGATCCGAGCACAGGCCTGGTAGAGCATATGCCCTAGGCACTGGCAGGGTGCTTTTCCAGGGTCACCCCTGGAAAAACAACTTGTCTCCGTGCTGATGGGGACAAGGGCCTCTTCCCCACAAGCCCTGGGGCGTTGGGTGCGGGCAGAGGGCTTATTCACATGAGGATACCCCTTTAATAAAGGGGCACCCAGATGTCGCTGCCCCACCTTGTTGAATGAGTAAGGGGTACTTGTACCCCTACCCATTCACTAAAGGGATAAAATAAATTGTAAATTAAAAGACCAGACTTTTGAAAAAATCCTTATTTAAAAAACAAACAAAAGAAAAGTTTTTGACAAGTGTTTTATTGTAAAAAAAAATAAAAATGGATCCACCGATGTAATCCATGGTCAATCATGGCGTCCAGCGTTGTCCACGACGACTCGACAAAAAAAAAAAAAATTAAAAAAAGGATGCCCGCCGTACCATCCGCTCACAAGGTACTGCACGGTGCACAGTGCCTTGTGGGGCGCTCGTGGGGCGAACAACCCGCCGAACGCCCTGACAGTTCTTGTGTTCGCGGAACACACGAACTGCCGATGTTCCAGTCAAACTCATGCTTGACTCGAACATCGAGCCCATCCCTAATTGTTACGTCTCAATTGTGTTTGCAGGCCTGAGTTTCTATTTAGGTATAAGTGTCTTTTAAGTGGATATATACTGTAGTACTATGCTGTCTACTTGATGGAGCCACCTTGTTAATGGCAGCATTTGATAGCAGTGAGATGTGGCTGGTACCACATATTACTGTACGTTGTACAAGAGGGATCTGAGTATGGAAAGTTTGATGCAGCTTCCTGAATTCCCACTGACAACACTGTATGGAAAAACAATATTTCCATGTAAACAAACCGTTCATGTAGAGTAGCAGTCAGTAAATGGTAAAGTTGTGATAGGACAATCTATTCAGTAGTTAGCTCATCCTCTAGACATGTTGTAGAAGCTGATACGGATGGTTTCTGTTACTTCTGTACATTGGCACTGTTGTCCTCTGGAGTCATGAGCACACAGTTGTACCTAATGTGGATACATCTAGGTTGACATTATATCATTTGCTAATATCTTTTGAGTGGGGGAAAAAAATGTTGTTATAATCAAGCAGTTGTCACTATGTATTTTATGGTCAAGGCCAATTCACAGTTAATTTGGCATCACCCCCCTGAAAAGTCGTCCACTCGGTCATGGACGGAGTGCCTGACAGCTGTGCAAGAGAGGAGGGGACCCGGTGTTCTGTCGAGAATGCCGACCCAGTCGAATTTGCTGACCTCAGCATCTGCACTTGTGCACAGATGGGATTAACGAGGAAACAGACATTTATTTAATTGTTGATTGTCACCACTGATAGTTTGCCATCCATGTAATTACTTACGATATTAATTGTGAATGTGCATAAAATGCTATCCATCATTAAGGCCTTGTTCACACCGAAAGCGTGTGCGTTCCAGAGCGGTTGCTGCTGGAACGCACCGCAATCGCTAAGAAACTTCTCCCCTAGAGCAAGCCCTATTTTTTGTGTTTGCAGAGGAACGCACGCGTGGCAAGGCTTTGCCAGCGTTCCGTTCCACTGCAAACGCAAAACATAGGGCTTGCTCCTCACCCCCATCCGTCCCAGAACGCGGGGAGAAGTTTCTTAGCGATCGAGGTGCGTTCCAGCAGCTAGTGCTCTGGAACGCACATGTTTTCGGTGTGAACAAGCCCTTACTGCCATGGATGGCATATTATCAACGATCACAATGATTGCAAATGAATACTTTGTAAATAAATGCCTGTTTCCTCGTTAATCTCATCTGTGCGCAAGCGCAGATGCTGATGTCTGCAAATTTGACATGGTCGTCATTCTTGACAAAACACCGGCAGCATACCTTATTCTGTCAGATAAACGTCCCCTCCTCTGCTGGCTGCCATCACCGAGATGGCCGGCAGCAGTTAACTGCACATGACATCATGGCATGTGTTATGGCGTCCCGGCAGGTGACACCCGGCGGGCGCTCTGGGTGACACCCTGCCTGGGGACGCCTCTGAGACAGGCCAACAGTACAGTGTCTCCATCCAGAGACACAGTACAAAACAAGGCAGTGTAAGTCCGTAATGGGGTAACGATCAGCTGTAGGAACGCCATAGACAATATTGTTGAATAGTCATATGCACTCTGCCTGCATTTTTTGGTATAATGCTCCCAGAGGTCAGTTAGTTGACCACAAAAAGGTTAAAAAATACAAATTGCAATAATTCATGCAGAAAATTTACTGTGTGCTGCACTGGGTCCAAGTCACTGTCTAGAGTTGCAATATTATTGTTTGCTGGCTGCTTCAGTGCTCTTCAATGTCCTTAGCAATCCTTAAAGGGACATTAAAGGCTAACGCTCCCCCCCAATGCTGGTGTAAGGACTTACCTTAAATGATGCCTCTAGATCCGATCATCTTCATTCCAGGAATTTTCAGGAGTCCCTCCTGCGCTGGTGCCGGTCTCTGATCCAGCGCTGACTCCTCTCTCTTCCTGGAACTTCCTGCCCCCCGGTGTCTGTGTGGGTGCAGGCTGCGTGCATTGACTTACCTTGTGTCTCTCCTCTTCTTCCAGCTGAAGATCTGCTGCTGCGCCCGCCCCATGATCCTTTGCGGCCTCTCAAGAATCTTTAGACAGGAGCGCGCGCGGAGACACAGGTAAGTTTAAACCCTTTTCTTAACTTTTTTAACCATGGCTCGTTCACACCTGTCCACAAGCGTTATGCATTGTCTAATGTGTTTGTGCCGGAGTGCTGCCTAAAATTGCAGGCAGTGTATTACTGTGAACAGGGCATATAGAGTCAAATGATTGCAATGTGTCCTTGTGTTGCGTTGATTTCTGCAGATTAAGGGGCCCATTCACACCATAGTGTTGCTTTAATTGCATGGTTCTATGTGATTAATACATGGTACTGTGTGTTACAGTACGGGAGGTGCAATGTTCACAGCTGCAATACGTGGTACCGCAAAAAAAAAAGTAGTGTATGCACACAGGCGCATTGCAGCTGGAGGTGCACCATTCAAATGGATACCAACGCAACGCACCTCCCACACTATAATGCATGACAGTTGCACTGCGCAGTACAGGGGCATCCCAAGGCCAGGTGTCACCCGGTCTCCAGAGCGGGTGACACCCCACCATGTCGTCATCGCATGTGACATCATCACGCATGCGCTGCCATCTGATTGACGCCTGCCATTTTGGTGATGGACGCGGGCAGAGAGAGGAGGGGACGTTCACCCGGCAGGATAAGGTATGCCGCCGGTCCCCTCCTCTCTCCTGACACTGTGGCTCTTGGTCCATGACCGATTGCCCGACTTTTTAGAGGGGGGTGACACCAAAAATGACTGTCAGTCCCCCCCCCCCCCGTGACACCAATGGCGCAGTAGCGTGCGTTAAGCGCACAAAACTGTGCCAATAACGCAACACTGTGGTGTGAATCCACCCTAATGTAAGTCAATACTGAAATGACCTATGATGTGATCATGGTGTCTGTACACTGGGCTGATCGGTATCCAGCTCCTGAAACTCTCCCCAGCACACAGAAACTCCATAGAATGACGATAACCGAAACCTCCTCCTAGTACGACCGCACAGCTCAGCGCGACAAACACACCAGCAATCTCTGTCGGCCCTTGTGAAAGCCCACCAATCAGCGAGCGCTTTCACTTCCCCACCTCGCCTCCTACCCTCCCATTGGCTGAGATGTATCAACCCTCCGCCGAACTGGGAACGTCCACTGGCCAGGGAGGCACGCCCACCTTCGATCCCCTTGTTTGGGAGCAGAGGACTAGAAGGTTCTGTTCGCGCCGCCGGTTTAGTCGTGTTGCTGGATCCGCTGGGAGAGTAGTGACCCGGACAGAGCGAGACACGGGCACGAGTAATGGCGAGCTTCAACAAGGGACCAGCTTACGGACTCTCCGCGGAGGTCAAGAACAAGGTAAGCGTGCCAATAGCGGAACATGAAACCGTTATGGGGGGGGGGAGACCTGCTGGGGGGACCGATACCACTTCGCGGGAGGTCATGTGACCACTTCAGCCAGCCAATGAGCCTGAAAAATAGAGCTAAGCTCTTGTGTTCAATAGATGTCAGTCTAGAAGTAGAGAGGGGTCTCTGCATTCATCTGGGATAGATAGATAGATAGATCGATCTATCAATCAGTGACCGCAGACAAACTTATCTGTACGCTTAGACTTGTGTAATTGCCATCCAGATCCAGTATTTATGTGATCAGTTACTTTTTCCCTTCTGATCTGTATAGTATGCCTTCCTGCACCCCCATGGGCTTGCCCAGGTCAGATGTGCTCTGCTTCCCCCAAGTGGGAGTTTGACTCTTTTTCAGAACTTTGCTGATTTGAGCGTATTAGTTCGCTCCTGCCTGTCTTTTGCTTTGTTCCTTGGTGAACATTGAAAATGCCCCTTTAACAATCGTTGTTTGTTGTCGTTATCAAATAATTGCTGACTGCTGTTAAATAGGCGTTTTCCTGCAAAGCAAGGGAGAAGGATTTCTTTTCTCTTTTTTTTTTTTGCCAGAATTGAGCTATTTGTTTTTATTATTATAAAAGGATTTGCAGTTTGTGCAGAGCTTTACAAAATAAAGGGAGACCATATAGTTACAATACAATTACATTGCAGGAGGGTTGGGAAGGCTCTGCTCATAAGAGCTTACAATCTAAAGGGAGGGGTAAGTGATACAAAAGGTAATAATTGTGAGTGGATGGAGAAAGTTAGGTGGAGGTAGGATAGGCTTCCGTGGAGAGTTTTTGATGATCATCTAAGGGCAGATAGATGGGGGTCTTTAACATTCCCTGTAGTGAATACACACTGATTTGATGTTTGTGTGTTGTGATCTCTCCTGACGTTGAATGCTCCCGAGTCCTTTGCACAGTTGATTCCAAAGTGACTTCTGCCCTCTGGAACCTGCACAGCGAGAGGATTGCATTGCAGGAGTTTTTCTTCGACGCCCTGCAGAGAAAAGAGTTTGAACAACTGCTTCTGGCATGATTCTCCATGGCGAGCGGATCCCGGATTGTACAATGTTCACAAGTGGAAAATGCAATGTAGGAATGTACCAAGCGAGCACAAGTTCGGCTGGAAAAGTAAATCTCTACAGCTGCTACCCATCTGCGCAGAAGACGACCTGACCATTGACAGACATACACCTTCCCTTACATTTCAGTGGGACCTTTGTAGAGGAAAGTGAAAAGGATGAAGGTGTT